GAAAGGCAAGTACCATTAAAGTATTTCAAAGGGAAACTCAAACCATAAGAGACAATGTCAGGCCGGGGATTTAGCTCAGTGGCACTGCGCCTGCCTCTCAAGCGCAAGGTCCTGAGTTCAATCCCTGGTACCAAAAATAAATAAATAAAAATTAAAACAGAAAAAATTTTTAAAAAAAGAGAGAGAGAGAGAAAGACAATGTCAAAGAATTCAGTAATGTTCCAGGTATGTTCTTTTTTTGCTGTTGTTGCTTGGCAAATAAAAACTTAAGCATTACATATTTTAAAAGCTAGAAGTAAATTGTACATAACCTTAACAAAATCTTTACAGGGATTCTAGATGGATGACCATTAGTCTCTCTAGATGCTGATAGCAGACTATCATAAGCATTTAGTAACAGACAACCAAGCCAATCATGGTGGCACATGCCTGTAATCCCAGCACTTGGGAGGCTGAGGTAGGAGGATTACTGTGAGTTTGAGGCCACCCTGCGCTACACAATGAGTTCAAGGCCAGCCTGAATTACACAGGGAGACCCTGTCTCAAAATACAAAATGAAACAAAAAAAGTAGCAGACAAGTAAAATGTGGTTGACTTACTTATAACACAGCCATATTTAAGACTTTTGTCATTTCAGTGTTTTACAGTGATAAATATAATGACAAAAATACTTCTTTCACATATTAATTAAATATTTGCAGTCCAAAAACAATCCTTGAGACAAGAAAAAAATAAACAATTATCACAGTAATGTTTCTATCTTTTTTTTTTCTTTTCTTTTTTGGTTGTGGTATTAGGGGTAGAACCCAGGAATACTCTTACCACTGTGCTAACATTCCCAAACCTTTTTTAAATTTTTTATTTTAGGAAAGTTCTTGCTGGGCTGGGGATTTAGCACAGTGGTTCCACTGCCTGCCTCGCAAGTGCAAAGACCCAATCCCAAAAACAAAAAACAAACAAACAAAAAAGGGCTGGAGGATTTAGCTCAGTGGTTCCGGTGCGTGCCTTGCAACCACAAGGTCCCGAGTTCAATCCCCGTACCAAAAAAAAAAATGAAAGCTCTCACTAAGTTTCCCAGGAAAGACACAAACTTTCTATCCTCCCACCTCAGCCTCACTCAATGATAGGCTTACAGGCGTGCACCATGGTGCCTGGTTCATCATACCAATTTTTAAGTGCATAATGAAAATGTGAATCCAGAAAGGAGAGAAAATGAGGAAATAACCTTGTATATTTGATTAATTCCTAAGAAAATATATGATAGAACCAAGGTTGCTGTTAAAATTTATAATTAAGTAATACAAACTCAAGTGTTATATCTATTCTACAGGAAAATCTACTCATACCCTTCTCAAATTCATCTCCTTTTACCCCAAAGCTGTATTTTTATTCCCTTCTACTAACTAGAGGGGCTGCTTTCAAATCCTCTGCTCAGAAAGAAGTGTCCCTGAGTTTCAGCAAGAAAGCCCTTACTGTTTGGGGAGAAGGGACAGATGCTTCAATTTTGTCACTTTTGAAGTGCTACAAACTATACACTAGTAATTGAAATGTAAGCTCTACAATACAATATACTTAATGTTCATTCATCCTTTCCACAAACATTTATCACCCAGGGGAGGGCTAGCACCAGTAAACAAGACATGGGCCTCAAAGAATCATTTGTAAGCAGACGCTGTATTAGCCCTTAGAGGTATTTTTTGGTATCGCAAATCAAACTCAGGACCTTTCATTTGCCAGGCAGGCAAGGCACCACTGAGCTATATCCCTGGCCCAGCCTTTAGCTTTTTTACCTGTGCATCATAAATCCGATGCATAGCTTGATACAACTGGTTCATATAGTTGGAAATAGATGTAGCATCTTCTTCAAATACACCCAGTAAAGACCTTGTCTGGATAAAATAAACCAATAAATTCATGTTAATTGGTATATAAATCAGATCAGATGGAAAAAACATTTTTTGCCTTATAGTAATAAAAATCATTAGACAATAAACTCTAGCAATTCTAAATTTTAATCTACTTTCTCAAGGCTGGGGGGGGTGGGTGGGAATTGAATGTAGAGTCCTCACTCTGCACTACATGCCCATCCCTTTTTAAGAGATGGTCTCACTAAGTGGCCCAGGCTAGGCTTGGATTTTTGATCCTCTTGCCTCAGAGTCCCAAGTGTGCTGGGATTACAGGCGGGTCCAGTTAACCTCAGGAAATTTCTTTTGGCTATTGCCATTCTTAAGAAAAATCTATCCCTTACTTTTATTTTTTCCTTCAAAACTGGGTAATTCCAATTCAAGGAAGTACACATTTATTTATGATTAAATGAAAAAGCTTTTCTCTCAGAGGAGGGCTAAACAGGTTTTTGTTTTGTTTGGAGTGCTGGGGATTGAACCCAGGGCCTTGTACTTTCTAGGCAAGCACTCAACCACTGTGCTATACTTGCAGCCCAATTTCCCAATTTACAGTCAAGAATATCAGGTTCAACATTGTAATAATTACTATTTGTTTAAAGTTTGAAGCTAACAAAAATAGAATCAATATGATACCTTTTTATTCGATCAAAATGGTATCCATTATAAAATATACCATTTCCATATACTATTAAAACAAATAAAACAATGCCGGCAATAAAGCTATGACTTAAGGTTTTCTCATGTATTGATACTCCGACTGGAAACAGACCCTTAAACAGAATTTTATTACATATGGCTCTCATGTAAACATGAAAAGGTTAATACAAATGGCATAAATGAAATGCATTCCTAAAACTTTTTCACACTCAAGAGTTCAACTCTTATGAATAAATCATTTTCTAACTTGAGTCATCAATATCCACATTTTCTCCAACATTATTCTTTTCTGTATCATGAAGTGACAAATATTTCTCAGAAGTACTCTACTTTAGCCGCTAGTATTTTTCTTCCAAGCGTAAACACTTGTTCAGCAAATTTTGCTGCTGCTGCTTTGCTTCCACAAGGTACAAAGGGAGTTTTTAGATAAATTGATTTGTGAGCTGAACAGAAAAGCTGCACTTGGCTACTATGCTACTAGGAGAAATGAAAACCAAGTAACTAACGTACATGTATTTATAGACCATGGGCTGGGGATTTAGCTCAGTGGTTCTGCCGCCTGCCTCACAAGCGTAAGGACCCGAGTTCGATCCCCGGTACCAAAAAAAAAAAAAAAATTTAAAAAATAAAAAAATATTTGTAGACCATGACAAGCATATTACAACTGCCACTAGACAAGAGCAACTGTCAAGATACCACCAATGGGCTGGGGATTCAGCTCAGTGGTTTCACTGCCTGCTGCGCAAGCTCAAGGACCCGAGTTCAATCTCCGGTACCAAAAAAAAAAAAAAAAAAAAGATACCACCAATCCAAACTGGGTGAGGTGGCATACACCCACAGTCCCAGCCACTTGAGACTGGGGCAGGGGGATGGCATGAGCTACTGTAAATTAAAACTGAGAGGGGGGGGGCCCCGGGGATTTAGCTCAGTGGTCCCAATGCCTCAAAAGCGCAAGGTCCCGAGTTTGATCCCTGGGACCAAAAAAAAAAAAAAAAATACCAGTTAGGATACAGATCATCACTGGATAAAGACTTGTGGACCAAAAAAAAAAAAAAATGTTGGGGGGGGGGTGCGGTTGCAACTTGATGGTAGAATACCTGGTTAGCATATGGTTCTCAGTTCAATCCCCAGCACTAACTTTTTTACATAGCAACTGGCTGACAGGCCACTTTTGATTAGATCAAATAATCTAACTAAAAACATCTATAGTATGAGCTTTAACAGTTACCATATTTTTGTTACTCTACTCTAGATAAGATAGTCCAAACAGAACAAAAATTTATAACCAGAAGCATTAATCTCAGCTCTATTTATAAGAGCATTACTTTGGAAAAACTTTCTAAAAGACCAACAATGGGAGCCAGGCACAGTGTCACACTCTTGTACTCCCAACTACTAAGGAAGGCTGAGGCAAGAGGATCTTTCCACATAGTCTGGGTAACAACAAGACTTCCTCTCAGGGAGAAAAAAAAAAACACTTTAAAAAAAGTCAGTTAAAACATGCAGTCTTCAAATCTGTTTTATTCAGAATGTAGTAACATGTAAAGATGCTCAAGATACAATGTTAAGTCTACGGCCATATTACCCTAAACATACCGGATCTCGTCTGATCTTGGAAGCTATGCAGGATTGAGCCTGGTTAGTACTTGGATGGGAGATATAATGTTAAGTTAAAAGCAGGATAAAAATTGTTATGCACAATATAATCTCAATTACATTAAAATACACAGATAAAAAAAGACTAATGAAAGAAAATTAGTATTAGGGTTTGGGGTTGGGTACCTGACAAGTTGTGTTATTTTTATAATCAGGGTCAAAAATGTTTAAAAATTCAGAGGTTCAGAGACCTTGAGTAACCTGGCCTAAAGTAGAAGGTACTAATCGGCAATAAAAACTGAAAACTTTATTCTCTCAATCCCAGATCTGGGCTTTTCATCTTGCCCACAAGTTTTCCCTAAGAATTACCTTCAAGTCTTCCCTTCCTAAATCTCCACTGTCCCAACTAATTTTCCCAAATAAATACTACCGAGTTCAAATGTATTGCCTCTCCAAACAAAAAATGTCAATGTACGTAGCTATTTCAGTAAAAATTACTGAAAGCTGTTAGAATGAGACACGCTTGTCAAACAGACAAGTAATTCTCAAGTTGTAAACTGTGTTAAAAGTTCAAAATTATCTCTGCCTCCTAGGGCACTGTATCACCCATTCTGACCTGTTTTATAGTCTTTATAGGTAAAATTTTAAAAAGCCAGATAAGATAGGGCCACTTGTTGAGTGTTACATAACAAAAAACTAAAATGACAAAACACACCTGACCAATACAACCACAGAATTGTTGCAAATCATTTGAAACAAATATAACTTTAATATTTTTTTTTCTGGTAGTGAGGATTGAACCCAGGGTGTTGGCACTGAACTATATCTATGGCCCTTTTAAAAATTTTTATTTTGAGACAAGGTCTCAAATTTAGCTAAGTCGCTAAATTACCTAAAGCTGAACTTGTGATCCTTCTGTCTTTGCTTCCCAGAGTGCTGAGATCACAGGTGCACATAACCACGCCTGGCTTACAACTACACTGAGGATGTCATTAAGCAAATCTGAACTGGCTATACTGTACTGGCAGTCAAGATAAACCAAATGTGGGTTTCTCTTTGTCAACATAGGCTGATAAGACTACATTACCCGCAAGCAACGGGCCTATGAAGATAACTTTTTGGATGAAAAAGAACAAATCAATTCTACAACCAGAGCCCCACTGCAAGTTGGCAATTAAAATTGGCAAAAAATCCATGGCAGAAATGCCATCCAGGAAAGGAGTACCTAGCGTTTTCCTCCTCTTTTGGGGAGACGGGTGTATAATAAACTAAAGATACACGAGATAAAAGCAATCGTATTTCTAAATAAGCGAATTTTCAAAAAACGTGCATCCTAAATGGTAACCAACCAGGAACACCGTCTCAAATCGCTCGTGTAAAAGGTAGGCACAGGAATGAAATTTCTCTAAGCAAGTTAGAGCCCCAGCCAACGCCATTGTACAAATGATTTCATTCTTCAGTACTGAAAATGTAGGTAAGTGTTTACATTTTCCAAAACTGTCTTAAAGCAACCACACCCGCATCATCCCAACGCACACAACCCGGGGCTTTTATTTTGATGAGTTTATGAGAGCAGAGTCCGCGGCCAGCGCAGCGGTAGAGAAGCCGCGAAGGCGCCGGGCATCACGCGCCGCGCGCGGCTCGAGTGACAGCGGCCAGGCAGCGCAGCGACGCCGGCACCCTCGGCGGGGAGGGCAGGCGCCGGCTCCGGCACCCACCGTCAGCTTCGCCAATGCCTCTCCACGCGGCCTTTCAGACCCTCCCGCGGAAAAACGAGCCACTTCCTTCCCTGGCGCCCAGAGCCTCAGAAAGCTCTAAACGAGACTACCGGGTTTTGTCCCCTCCCGCATTTCCCCGCAAATCCCAGGATGGGGACCGATCGCCGCGCGCCATCGCGGTGATCAAGGCACGATCCGTCAAATAAAGCGGGACTCGGTGCGTCCGCGATCGCCAGGCCCCACGAGAGGCGGTGGTGGCTCGGTCTCCGCCCGCGCACCCCCACGCGGGCCTCGAACTGCGCGCCGGGCCTGGGCCTCTCGGGGCGCGGCCTGCGGCGGGCGGGGGCT